CCCCAAAACCCCAAAACCCCAAAACCCCAAAACCCCAAAACCCCAAATTTTTAAACTGTATAGAATATTTAAACGAAGAAAATGTTCAAGAAGAAAGCAGTGGTGGTTCTGGTTGAAGGAATAGATAATTTTGAAGATGAGTATCAGGTCTTTAGGGATAGACTTGACTGGATTGTTAGTAAAGGGAGAATCCAGATTTTGGTCAGTAAAGACAGATCGGAGATGGAAGGTAGATGGGAGAGAGTTGAGAGGGATTTTTAGGGAGGTTTGGGGAGTTTTATGAGATTTAGAGAATTTTAATGGAATTTTGTATTGGGATTAGTGCTTTTGGGAGAGATATTTAAGCTTAGGAGATGAATAATTATGTTCAACTTCAATTATTATGTTACCTTCTTTATTAATAAGTCTCAAAACAATAACTTAGGTTCAGGTGGATCTCTTCTAAATTCCATAATGAGGAATTCTAACGAGGCAGAGGATGATTTAGAGGAGTCTCAGACTCAGAATGTAAGTTTATTTAATCTTAAACTATATCAGGCTTCAATCTTGTTACGTGATTGGGAAAACATTCCTGAGATGTTCAGCTCAAGCACGTTTTTCTTGACAACAGATCCTGATCTGTAAGATAGAGAGTAATTATGAATAGAGAAGGAGTTAATTTGATTGAAGATTTGGAGGATTTTGCAGATTATAGGAGAGAATTTTTAGAAAATGATGGATGGAAATTGATGTTCGTGTATTGTGATGTGAGAAAAGAAGTTAAAGGAGATATCTGAGAGTTATTTGGAGGTATGGAATGGATTTTAAATTGCATTTTGAGTGGCGTAGGAATTTGAAGAGGTTATTTCTGTTGAGATTTAGTTAAATTTTCTGTAGATGGAAGTGAAGAAGATTTTCTCCAATATAATTTCATATTTTCTAAAATTGGCAATTGCGAGAAAAGCGACTTCTTTCCTGAAATTGGTGAAATTGGCACAGAAGGATCTTTACATTCAGATAGTCTCATTACAGAGGACAAAAAGGAAGAAAATTCATCAATCTTGTCCTCGATAATCCCAAAGCAAACCTTTACTACCTATATGAATAAATAAAGTATCTGTAGATTACACATCATGTTCTCTCTTAATTCAATATGAAAAAGATATCACTCGTAGACAAAGAAGGTTGCCTAATGAATTCTCAGAAGCAAAATCTGGAGAGTAAGTCACCAATCTTCAGGCATCAACTTATAACTCTAGGTTCGAAACTCTTCAAGATGTAGTGGATTACATTAAGGGAAGACACTCTACCAGATCTGTATTTATGGGCAAAACCTTCCTTTCAGACAACTTTATCATGGAAGTCGCTTTTAAACTTGGCATTGTCGGTAAATTTGGAGCATAAAACAAGGGTTAAGATTTAATAACTCAATTAAGATATTCACCATTGGGGTTTTGGGGTTTTGGGGTTTTGGGGTTTTGGGG